GAAATACCCATAAGGGTTTCTTACACAGTCTTCACTGGCTGCTGTGGCGACTGAGTGGGGCAGATGCCAAACGCTGAGGTGTGTTTATGCCCATTATGCTCAATGTTGTCTCGGGGAGACGGGCTCTGCGGAGCATTTCTGCAGCAGCCACTGTGTGTTAACCCCCCCACACACACCTCAGGAGATCAGGTCCCGGAGCTTAGAATCCCCATAGCTGCCTGTGCCATTAGGGGTGTATGAATGGGACAGCCCAGGTCCATGGAGACTGCCTGTGGTCTGAGGTTTTACAGGTGAAACTGGGCCCAAACCTGCAAAGTGCTGAGATTCCAGGGAGTTGAGGGCTCTCTGCACCCTGCCATCTTGGCCCTGCTCTTTGTGTGTCCTTGGATGGTGCCCTTCAGTATGTGTACGCTGGAGCTGTGCACCAGAAGCCAAGGCCTTGTTTGTGTTGTAGGCCCCGTACACCCAGGACCGGCTCTCCCCTCAGACCGTGAAGGAACAGCTAGTGGATTTTGCCCGTTTTCAGTGGCCTTTGCTCTTTTCTAGGTTCTTTGAAGTCACCAAATTTTCAGGTAACAACAGCAGTGAGGGGGAAGGGAAGGGAGGGGAGTGGGATAAAGAGAGGAGGAAGAGGGCTGAACGCTATCTACAATGGCCTATCTCTGCCTTTTCAGGGCCCAGTCTGCCCAAGAACCACTTCATAGTGGCCATTAACTGGAAAGGGATCTGCTTCCTAGAAGAGTCAGAAAAGAGGCTCCTTGATCTGTCCTTCCCGGAAATCACTGGAATACACACCAACCGGTTAGTCACCTCGGTCCAGAGAAAGCAACTGCCTCTCAGCCTAGACTCTGCCAAGATTCACTTCCCTTCACCTCCCCCCGGAAAGGTGGCTGTTCTGGGTCTTGGTCCTTGGACACTTCTAGAGACCTTCCAAATGAATGAAACTAGTGACTGGATTTCCCCAGTCAGTCAAGGGAAAGCTCAGACTCCCGGGTCAGGCCTGTGGGGCAGGAAACCTTATGCTGAATTAATTCACAGGCTCCTGAGTGCCCACAATGAGGTAATTTTGTGGAGGAACATGGGCAACATGCTCTCCAGAGACGGAGCCAGAGTTTCGCTCCCCTGCTTCTGAGAAGTCAGGGCAGGAGCTCCGAACTCCTGTTAGTGCTAACATGTGCTCAGGGTGTTCCCAGACATCCAGGGCTGCATGAGGATGCAGCACAAAGGTTTGCAGATGTCCTGGTAATGAGCTACTCTGGATCCGCAGGGCAGTGAAGTCTTTCGGGCAGTGCTGCACGCTCATCACCCTGCGGGCAGAGGAGTTTGTCCTGACCTCTGTCCACAGCGTTGTCATCGCTGAGCTAGTGGTCCTGTTTCTGGAAGGACTCAAGAAGAGGTCCCAGTACGCTGTGGCCATGCAGGACAGCAAGCAGCAAGGTACGTCTCTTGGGCAGGGAGATGTCTGGGGACAACCTAGAACTAAAAGGGGAGCAGAAAAGCTCAGGGAGGTAGAAACTTCAGGAAGAGTCAGCAACGAACCCCGCAACAACCGAGCATGTCAGGCGCCAGGGTTCAAGCCTCCCCCACACAAATCAACCTTCCTTCCCCACTGGACAGGGGGAGCCTGGCTCTGAGGACATGCTCTGTAAGACTCCACAAGGGATGGAGAAGGCTGTGCAGTGCCACTGGCCGAGGGGGGGAAGGGCTAGACACAAAAGCCACAGTCCTCATTCATGAGCTCTTTCCCCTGCATCACTGCCAGTCCCAGCAACCTGTTCTGCTCCCATCCCAACCAGCACACGTTTTGCTATTGAGCTCCGGGGGCCTGTCAGTGACTGCTCCAAGGTGCTATTCTGTGATCAGCCACTGTCACACAAATGGCTGTCGGCTGGTAACAGGCCTTGCAAACTCACGTCCTTGCCTTTATAGTGGAAATCCCCGGCGTGTTCTCCTGGCACGGGAGAGCCTGAACTCAGGGTGCTCTCTCTGCTTGGCTTGCTCTTTATGGTGTTGTGCTCTGTGTTTCCAGGGGATCCTGCCATTCTGGCCTTCAAGAAGGGGGACTTGCTGATTCTGACCCAGGACAAAGAGCTGGAAGCAAATCGTGGTGCCTGGGTCTACGCTCAGAATGAAAGGACGGCCAAGACAGGGGCTGTGTCGTTAGAAGCAATCTATGTCATCCCTTCCATTGCAAAGCCAGCCAGCCAGATTCTGGTAAGCACCATGGGACAGGGCCACAGCCAGTAACTGGACGGTCTCCAGGCCTACACTCCTGAGGTTGATTGACACAACAGTACTGAATGCGACTGCCAACTGGAACAGGAGTGGTTCCCCCAGCCTAGATCAGGTTAAGCCTTTCAGAAGAGCGACAAATGAGTCAGAATGAAACACAAAACCAAAGATAAAAGAAACTGCTGCCATCTCAGGGTGTTGTTTTAAAGGAACACACCCCCCTGCACCGAACAGGAGTCTTACCCTAACTGCCATCTTCCCGGTGACTAATTCTGCCTGTCCCCGATGGAGAGAGCTGCTGTGTTTGGTGCTGTACAACTGCACTACATGGGACTGTTGTGGGGCACACTTACTGCTAGGACACTTCTCCTGGCTAATCTGGGGACTGACTCCTGCCAGGTCCAAAACCCTCCGCTACCTCCTCCTCGGCAACTCAGGGTGCTCTCTCTGCATGGCTTGCTCTTTGTGGTACGGCCCTGCAGACAGGTTAATAAGATCCTCCCCTTCCAGGCTAGCATTCTGGGAACGTCCCAGGCAGGTTTCTACTCCACTGCCCAGTCTGTGCCACTTCCCCAGGGGCAGGTAAGGGACCCCAGAAACCTTGTCTAGCAACTGTGGTCTGCTTTTTCCCAGGCCCTGTTGCTATTTCCCTTGTCTCCTGCGCCCCCCCCTCCCCCCCCCCCCCCCGCATCTCC